AAGTATATTTCTGCCTTCAAATTCCAAATGTGCTCATATTTATTCATGAAAGTTTTGGAAATGATTGCATTCTGCTTTTACACAATTTCTTTGTATTTTGGTCATTTAGGATCAGCATAGTCAGACCTTATATTTGTGGATTTTAATGCAGTTTCAGAGGCTCAAAAGTAACTGGACAAACTAACTTAGTTATTAATATAAGGACTGTTTTTAATACCTGGTTAAAAATCCTTTGCTGACAATGACTGTCTGAATCGTTTTCTTTCTTGAGATGTTTTATATTTATTGCAGACACCTTCAGGTGCCGCTTATTTGTGCGTCTCTCTTCAGTATTTTATTTAATAGTCGAAAAAATATGCTCCAGTGACGGACTTGGGAAATCCCATGTTTTTGCTTGGAGAATTTCTTGGGTTGCCTTTGGATTATGCCTTGAGCTATCCATTGGTGCTGTACACCACTGACTAATCAGTTTTGCAACATTTCGCTTAATTTAAGCAGAGAGTATACCTTTGTACACTTCAGAAGTCATATGTGTAAATGCCTCCACCATGTCTGGCAAATGATGTGATATGATCTGGATCAGAAGTTGCTCCTTTCCTTCTTCACTTTATGGTTCCTGTCATTCTAGTAAAACTTTGGTTCCCTCTGTCCAGAATTTTCTTTTTCTTCTTAGATGTTTTTTTGATGAGGTCTAATCTAACCTTCCTATTCTTGAGTCTAACCAGTGATTTGCATCTTGTAGAAAACACTTTTCATTTCTTTCCATAAATGTGATATCGTGGTTTTTCATAACCAAGAAAAGAAATCAGTCTTTGGCCACTCCAAATTAACAATCTATGGTTATTTTAGTTTTTCAGTCTAACGCAGGCCTCGGTCACTTGCACAAGTTTAACACTTGAAATCAAGTCCAAACCTTCTACTGTCACGGTCTGGCTAGGGCAGACCGTATGTTGCAGGGAAGGACTCAAGCGCAGACCGAAACGAGATATGAATAACAAAACAAGCAGTTTATTAAGGCAAGAAACAAGGGTACAAAATAATAGGGAATCGATGAAAACTAAACAATGACCTAAACTGGGTGAACTAAAACGAAACATACAAAACTCTAAACATAACGAACTGACAGGGATACCTGGAGCGGAGACATAGGAACAACGGCGCAGAACAACGGCGCAGAACAACGGCGCAATACAACGGACGACCTGACAAAGAATGACTGAGAACACACAGACTAAATGGACACAGGAGGATAATGAGGGAAGTGGCAACACCTGGGGAAACAGCTGGCACACATGAACATAATGACGTCACAGTGGGAGAGTAAAACTGAACACGATGAACACAGAAACGCCAGACCTCTTCACAATAAAACAGGAAACAGAGTGAGACATAGACATGACAACCTGAACTTGACAACATAAGCCACAGACATGAAATACATGAAAAGCAGGGGAGACTTAACATGGTGGAAACACGAGGGGAAAATAACTAGAAACACCTAGGCATGAAAACGATGAACTTAGGAAACCTGAAGGCTACATAAACTAAACACAAAACGCTGGGTCAGCAGACCCAGGATCATGATATCTACAGTATCTGATTGGTCTGATTCGTTTGTCATTAAATAACTAGAAAACAATCCTCAATATTATGAAACTGCCTGACAGTTAATTATTTCATTAATGTTTAGCCTCTGATAATAGGAGACTGTGTATGAAAGTATGATTTTGTTAAAACTTCAAAGCCTGAACAATCCCATATTGACATATAAATTCATTATGGTGCTGGACAGAGGCAAAACTACAAAAACATGTGTGCCCACATGCATACAACAGTGCTTTTATTACTAAGGTACAGGCTCCCTCCTTACCTTATGCATATACAGACTTGCTATATGAAATTAGGGTTGAAGCTCTCATGTCAGTGTTGGTGAACATTCGATATACTTGGATATAATGTGTTATAATTATTACTTGCTTACAGGTCCAAGTTATCATTAGCATAAGATTGTCATAATCATGGGGTTTTTAAAGGAAGCTGGGTAGAGATGGAGCTGAGCTGGTGTTATTGCCAAAGCTGAAGCTGTGTTTAACAAAGCAAAGCAAAAGCCAATCACCTAAAACTGAAGTGATGCGAGTTTTCTATCTAAAAAAACAAACCTCCATAAAATAAGTGCAGAGCTCGTCGAGACACGTCTGGAAAGGACGTAGGTGTTAAATTGAGCCATGGTGCGTGATTTTTTTTAAAAACATCACGAATCATGAAAAGCTATGTTTTTGATTGCTTCACGCTGCTGTGAGAATTGCTTCCAATCTCTTCAAAATAAAAAGATGAGGAGAAGTCTTCTGTGAAAATGTGGAAAAACAGATGAAAGTTAAAAAGCCTCTCGCGGCATCTCAGGTTTGAAAAGACTCAAAGTTGATGATGATATCCTCCAACGAGGGCTGACAGGCACCCATTAAAAGGTAGGCTTAAGTGTGTTTGTGTGTCAGCGGGAGCCTCCTTTACAGAGTCTGATCTGCTTGTCAAACAGCAAAAGGAGATGTTCACTGGTCCAAAGTCCTCCCACACACAGCTGCTCCAAAATACTCAGTCTGTGCGCATCAGCTCATATGTGCAGGCTCATGCATCCTTGTTTGTGATGCGTTTGTATTTTCTGCCCGTGTTTGCACAGTCACTTGTGTATCCTGATATTACCTGTGTGTGTGTGTGTGTTCAGACTTGTTTGTCTGATCTGTTAGCACTCTGGATGTCTCCCTCTTCATCCCAGAGCCCCATGCCTGTCCAGCCATTCTCTCATCCTATTAAGACTTCTCCTCCCGAAGGAATCACTAGTCTGCGTGCGTTGGAAATCGCAGTCTGGCTCCGATGATGAGCCAAGTAGGACTCTGTGTGGCCAAAGCCAAATTCAGATATTTGCTCCATCCCACAGTGAGATATCCGCCATCTGAAAGAGGAAAATGGCACGAAGAAAATAAGGCAAATTTGCATGTTTTTCCAAAACATTCAAGAGCAACAGGACGGCATCACTGGAACAAACAAAACCTCAGCATCTTGTGTAAGAGATCTTCGCTTGGTCACATGGTTGCTTCCGCTATGCCTTCCAGCTTGAGGAGAGTGTGACTCATGATGCTAACTTAAACACTAAATCAGAAATCTGTTATGGATAACTAATGGTGACAAACCCACTGAGTTTCCTGTGTGCGGTTAGAAAATATTTGGTGGCATTTTTTTAATTAGATCATGGTTAAGCTGAACGTTGTTCCACTCGTGTTAATGAGAACGGTTTGACATTTTTTAAAGCTGTGTGGTTGACAACACTCTCATCTATATGTGTTAAATATTAAAGCAGCAGCAGCAGCCAGCTAACGTACTGTTACTTACTGTTCAACTGCTGACTAATGCAAATATCTAATTAGCCGATCACATGGCAGCAACCCAGCGCATTTAGGTCCAGACAACCTGCTGAAATTTGAATTGAGCACCAGAATTGTGGAAGGAGGGTGATTCGAGTGACTTTGAACGTGGCGTGATTGTTGGTTTGAGTAATTCAGAAAATGCTAATCTATGCAACCAAACAGAGAATAATCTGAAAAAGAGAAAATATCCAGCACAGATTCTCTGGGTGAAAAAATTCACTCGTTGATTCCAAAGGTTAGGGGAGTATGGTTAAAGTAGTTCAAAAGGCAGCTCCAAAGGACTCATTACAACAAAGGTTTGCAGAAGAGCATCTCTGAAACACAAAAACACATTGAACCTTGAAGTAGATGGGCTACAGCAGCAGAAGACCACACTGGGTGTTACTCTTGCCAGCGAAGAGCAGGGAGCTGAGGCGACAATTTGCATGGATTCCCCAAAATTGGACAACAGAAGATTGGCTTTCTCTCATGAGTCTCAATTTCTGTTGCCACTTTCACAAAGTAGGGTCAGCATTTGGCGTTAACAACCCGAATACACCCACCATGGACCTATCATCTAATGTATCAATGGGCAGAAGTGTTGTTGTAATATTGTAGGGAATATATGTTGGCACACTTTGTGTTCCTTAATAACAACTGAGCATCGTTTTATCTCCACAGCTTACCCACGTATTGTTGCTGAGGTCCATCCCTTTATGTCCACAGTGTACCATCTTTTGATGGCTGCTTCCAGCAGGATAACACACCATGTCACATCTTCTAAAACTGGTTTCCTGAACTTAACAATGACCAAATGACCGATATGGACCAAAATATTTGTGAAATTGTTCTAGTGCCTTGTTGAATCTGTGCCAAGAAGAATTAAAGCACTTATGAAGGCAAATTTTCAATTAAGAAGTGGTCCTGTATTTCTAGCACCTCATGCCATGTTCATAAATCTTTATGCAGTTTTATAGCACCTGGGGTCAATCATCCAAAGCAACTGATAGTGCATATAAGACATGAAAAGAGCGTGTAGGCAGGATTGAGTGGGTGGAGATGAGTGTCAGGGGTGATTTGTGACAGAAGATAATAGCAAGAGTCAAAGGGAAGGGTTACAAGAAGGTTTGAAGATGGTGGTACTGACAAAAACACAGGAGAGTTAAAGGTGTTAAGACAGAATTGACAGGATTAGGAATGATTACATCAGAGGAACACTTCAGGCTGTGAGGTTCGGGGACCAAGTTGGAGAGGCAAGGCTGAGGTGTTTGGATATGTGCGGAGCAGGGATGGTGGATATACTGGACAAAGGATGTTGAAGATGTCAGGCAGGAAGAGGAAAAAAGGAAGACCTCAGAGAAATTTCATGGATGTAGTAAAGGAAAACATACAGTTGATGACTGTAAATTTGGGCAATTTAACACAGAAATCTCTGGTGATGGAGCCAGCCAGTGGCCATTTGAGGAACTGCACTTTCACGCTTGGTTTCTTTTTCACATGTCGCCCTTGAGATACTGTCTCAGCCTTGTTTTCCTCATAGCGGTTATCTTATCTTGTGCTGCGTGCAAAACTCATTTCTGTACCTTTGCTTGTGTCTCTCAGATGGCCCGGTGATCTGGCGGATGCTGACCTACCCCCCAACACGACGAGCCCTGGTGGTGGGCTGTGGTCTTCAGATGTTCCAGCAGCTTTCAGGAATCAACACAGTCATGTGAGTGGAAACATCACCAAACCTTTCCGTCGGGTCTGGCGCACGGGTCTGATTTATTCTGCTTGTTCTCCCAGAGCAACAGACTTTTGTAAAATTAAACAGAGCCTGCAGTGTTCAGCATCAAATGAGCAAATAGATAAAGGCGATCACCCAAAACAACTTTGCACTGATTTTCAGTAACCCTTCCCTTTAAGGGATGCTGATACGTGCCGTATAGCCTTACAAAGCCAGTGTGTCAATGAAGGGGTCAAGGGTTCAGGTTTTTCCCTTTAATTTGTCAGCAGTCTGTAACTGCCGAACTTAGAGGCCCTTTCATGTGTAGTATACTGGAAAAAATTGACCTCTGATACTTGAGGCTGTGTCCATGTGTCATCTTTTCAAGAGCTCAAACGGCACAGCCTTTATTATTTCTACATCGCATTGGCGCCGAAAGGGAAAAGTTCAAGTGTGTTTTTATCAGTTTTGCCCTCAGAGTTAATGAAAACAATAACGATGCATGGCACACGATGTCACATGCCTCGCCTCTCAGCACCAGAGATCTCAGACGGGTGCATTCGCTTCAGCGACACGCTATTAAATCACAAAACATTTCTGTCATCTGTCGCTTCACGTCGCCCAGTGGGGAGCAAGAGGACTCATTGCATTACTGCCCACTTGCCTGCGAAGGGATGGACCAGCTTATTCTTTTCATCTGAGGGGATTGTGTCATCGGTCCCTGCCTCGCCTCCCTTTAGAGATGAACTATATTGCAAGGCTCCGTAAACAATCTGTGGATATGTGCTGTTGCTTAGCAACCACCGGAGGTGAGAGCAGCAGGATAAGTGTTCTTGTACGGGCGTGTTTGCACACATGTGACTAAATGAACGAAATGTGACCCTATGGACTTTGGAGTCTGTGCAGGCGCGCCTGTGTGGCACGTGCGTGTTTGTGCATGACATCTGTGCACTCGCGTGGTTGTGTGTATGTAAGCGTGAGGCTTTAGGTATGGCCGTTTGCCCGTGCGTGATTAGATTTTGAGAAGTAAATGGACAGAAATGTGAGGAGAAAGGATGATAATAAAGCAGCGGTGAAACTCTGGATGTCTTTGAGCGGTTGCTTCTGTCTCTCTCGCAGAGAGATCTGGTTACTGAGTGTCTGCCTCTCTTACTGTATATTTATCTTCATCCCTGTCACCAACATTATGAACAGCAGAGCGGACAAACTTAATCTGTCATAGCTCTGTCCCTATCCACCTTTCTGACTCTCTGATTTATGTATCTGCCAATCTTCTAGTCCTCCCAAAAAGGTCTACCTGCTAGTTTATCTGTGTCGAGAGATGACCCATTTGCAGCGAGCATCATTACATCCTCAGCCGAGACTGTTTCGGGCCTGTTATGTTTACAGATGGCATTAAAATGTGTTTTCCTGCCTGCAAATTGAAATCTGATTGCCCTTTCGTTTGAAAAAATAAGTACTGCGGCTTACTGTGGTGATAATGACATCACTCAAAATTGACATTAAAGGCCTCACGCTGGTGACAATCAATTTTTTGATGCCAGCGTCTCCATTTCTGTTGTTTGCTTTGTTTTAGCTTCGCATCGTTTCGTGGCTTGAAAAGTCCCAGAGACAGATCAGAATGCAAGTTGGCACAGGTTATAGTTATTTTCATCTGGAGTCAGGCTGAAAGAGAGCAGATCTGATGAAATCGCCAAAGTACAGCCCAAATCAGAAGAAGCAACATGTTTAAGAGAACGAGTCCAACGCAGCAGACGCACAAATAACAACGGTTGTCTTGTGACATAGCAAATGAATCGAATCCGTGGGCCTCTTTCCCATCCGTCCCAGATGTGTTCACTCCAGATGTACGTGTGGATAAGCCAATAATAAATCACTCGGTTGCTGTGTGTGTTTTTGTTTTTTTTGTCTCCGATATTTTGCTCTCGTGTGTGTGTTTTTAACTTTATAATCAAAAGCAAGTTGTTATTTTAGGGCCTGTCTTTGTGATGTCTCTGTAGTGTTTCAAAACCACATAAGACTAAGCCATGGTTATAATATCAGCCAGAATCCATCTATTTTGTTGTCTCCTTATACAGCTCAGAGTCATGGGGGGTTACCAGCTATCCAGCTGCCATGACAGTTCAATTCAATTTTATTTATATAGTTCCAAAACTGTTGCCTCAAGGCACTTCATACTGTAAGAGAAAGGCCCGACATTAATGCAGGTTACACCCTCAACATGTTTCCAGTCCTTCACAGAGAGACAGACGACTGCATAGTCGCACTTCCAGAGATCATTTACAATCAGCAGTTAACCTAACATGCATGGCAATGTCCTTTTCCAGCAGGAGGTCCACCCAGGAACCTCCTTCCAAACTAAAATACTAATCAAAATGCAGCCATTGGACACTGTAAAGGTATAATTAAATTAACAGTCAGTTTTAAGGCCACTCTTTTTACACCAGACTGAAAAAATATTTCCTGTGTTATAAAATTAGCCAATCAGACTGATTGTGTCATTTTTCAAATTTTTCCAAAAAGTAGACCAATCAGATCGCTGCATGTGGCAACAAGTGCGCTTGTAGCTCAAACACAGTCAAAACATCAGGACCAGCTCATTGTCGCTTAATGTCAACTTTTTTTCACCGCGCGTTTTTGAGGGCGAATTTTTCACAAAAACATAACGCTTTAAGTGTGTGTTTACGTTGCATGACGAGAAAAAGAATTAAGAAATGTTTACATTTGCTGTACAAGGAAAAAGGATCAGATGCCAGTGACGGCCTACTCAAAAGGAAATCACAAAAACAAAAGGAGAAGAGATGTTGCAGTGGTTGATTTGTTGGTATAAGCTTGAAAGTTCATAATACTCATTGTGCTCGACATTTTAGCTTCACAATTATAGATAATACCAGCTAACTGCTACAGCTATGGAAGCTAGGCGTTTGTCCTTTTTTGCAAAATAAAGGGTAACTGAATAATTCAATTGTAAGTAACTAGACCAGCCTTTTTAATTGCTGTAGTATGTCATTATAGAGGTGCCACCTGCCCACTTTTTTAACCACTTATAAAGTCAGTATAAAGTGGACCAGTGTACATATTTTGAAAGGTAAAGGATCTGGGTTTAGAAGACACTGTTTAACCCAATTTGGGTGTTAAGTGTCTTGTCAAAGGACATTTTGGCACATAAACAATAGGAAGGATGAAGCAGGGGAGTCATGAGCCATGTATCACAGGTGAACACCCAAATAAAGAAACAGCAAGGTCTATTTGATCTACAGATTGGTGTTACAATTCAAAACAGGCCTAGGGGTTAAAAATGAAAAGTCCATGCACTGATTGCAAAAATGGTATTAATTTTATTAATTAGTACATTTGTTAGGGTTTCAGAACATGTAGTGAGAACTGAATCCTGATGATGACGTTCACAGTTGTAACCTGAGAACTCAGACACTGGGCTGACAGAGGAAAATGTGAATCTGGATGATTGATATTAGGTGATAGAAACAATCTGCCTGCTCGCTGAAACTGAGGTGAATAATAAAAAACTCAGAGGGTTGCTGGATGAGGTGAGGACAGACTACAGAACATAGAGAACAAAACGAAAGGGGGAGAACACAGCTGTTACCATGACAATACTCACCCTTCAGTGATGAATATAATGTAAAGATATGAATGATTAAAAACTATATTTGATCATCTTCCACCATACGGAGCATGGGCTACTTTAACCACAGAATGTGCACTGTGTGTTGAGTTATTGCTGACGCCTCCCGTCACTCGTCATGTGTGCTGTATGCTTTGCTAAGCTCCCTGTCTACTGCCTCTTTTGTCTACCTCCAGTGAAGCTTCCAGGCTAGCCCCATTAGCCGGTGAGACATAAAGAAGGTCTGAGGAGCCAGTAAATCAGCCAGGCTTAGAAACAAGCTCCTCTCCCTGTCCCCAGCTGCTTTTTCTGATTAAACCACCAGGCTGGCACAGGCGAAGAAGGAAAAGGGCAATGAGACAATCTGGCAGACAGGCAAAAAAAAAAAAATCCAGACCAAACTAGAAAAGCACATATTGGCCCAGTTCTAACAGTCCTCTCTCTCTCAAGTTAGGAACTTGACAGGAACGGATTGACAGTGTTCACTTTTTCCCTCCCTCTCTCCAAGTCACATATGTTCACACAGAGGGTACATTTGAGACCCTATTAGCACATTTTCCCACAGAAAGCCTCCCTCCTCCCGTCAGCCTTGGAGTAAAATATCTAACAAAAAAAGTGAGCTCTTCTGGTCTTTATCAGAGGAATTCAGGCGAAAGATTGACTGAGATTGTAACTGACCAGCCAGTTCAACCAATAACATCTTGATGAAGTGACAAAGTTGCGTTTCTCGCTTCATCAAACTGACAGTTAACACGTTTCCCTCTGATTTGCCCTTTCATATCTAACATACTTATGGAGATCAGTGCTGCCTTAGGGGATATCTGTAATTATAAACCCCAGCCTGTCAAATACAGTTACAAACCTCACACGGTGTAAATTTTTTTTTTTCTTTTCAGTCCAACTTCACAAAGGAGCAGTGGTTAACAGCACCTAAGTCTCTCAGAGATTCTGTTTAAATGAGAGCTTGAGATCTAGTCTAAGCATCGCCTTTGCACCATTTATTCCTGTGCAGTCTGTGTTGGCATGTGGTTGCATTTCGTCACATTTCTGATTATGTTTCAGAAAGGTGTAGCTTGAACAGAGAAGTATAAATCCGCCTTTACACCTGCTCACACACTAAACTTGGTGCAGATTAGTATCAGTTGCCTGAATGCTAATTTGTGCTCTGTTCTGTGTAATGTCCATTTATGCAAGCAAACGTACTTGAGCTTCATCCACAATCCCAGTAGGTGAACTTTTATCATGCTCAGCTGTTTGTGTTGCAATAACATTTCAGGAGTCTGTGAGATCAAACTGTATACAGGTGTTGAAGCTGTATCTGGCAGGTGAGGATTTTTCTATTTGTGCTAGCAAGGCAGTGATCAGCTAACCTCTGCCGCTG